ACGTGTCACCTCCAATGCCGTTGGACTGGCGACTGTAGAGTGACTTCTTAAATGGGCTCCTAGGGTTCGAGATCTTCATAACTTGGCTTCGAGATTCTTCTCTTTTCTCCTGTGCTCTCTGCGCCGTTTCGTGTTCTCTTCTTCTTCACTGTAGAATTCTCATTTGATTTCTTATATTCTCTGTGTAGTTGGTAATCTTGAGTGATTTCCTTAAGTAGAATCTTGGTTCTTGTGTGAACCGTGTGTTGTAAGAGAAGGGGTTTATCTTTATTATTGGGCTTGTCTGAGTGTCGATCCTTTTGTAATCTGTGCCCTGGGGTCTGATTCGAACATTGTGGTGCTCATTCTTGTGTGGTTGAAGCAATGATTTGAGACCTTGAGGAGTTCGACCAGTGGTGTTGATAAAAGAAGAGAAGTTCATTTTTCAGATTGATTGTTTTTGTGATTCTATTTCAGTTTGTGTACTGATGTTTGTGAAGTTTATTCCACATTATTGTAGTTTCCTGATTCTTGTAATTTGTACATTGAGTTTGGGTTTACTATGAATATTTACAGCTTAGATTGAGTCCGATTATTGCTGTTTTATTCTTGCAGATTACTTAGTGTTGGTTCAGATTATTACAGATTCTTGAGTCTTAATTTTCAGTTCGTTTTTGTTACTTTTGCACATATATGTTTGTTGATTTGTAAAAGCTAATTGTTTGAACTCCTCCCAACAGATGATGCCAAGTGTCAAGTTCTCCATAAAATAGAGAGAATCTTGAAAATATTACCAGAGCCAAAAGCAGATTTCCTGGGGGCTGTGCTTTCCCCGTCTCTTTCTTTAGCAAATTCATCCATTTTCTTCTTGAGAAGATCAAGGCTTACACTCTCTTCTCCTTCTTTTATGCCCCCTCCCTGATTTTCTACTTCCTGCGAAGAAAAACACAAGAATTCGGTAGAAAATAGAGAAGCTGAGGATGCCTGAAAATGAAGGGGGAATACTGTCCTATATGCAGTTATGCACCCTAGATTATTCATTCAAATCACCATACTTGAACAATATTTTGGACCTTGAAGCACTCAATCACCACGACACATCATGTGCTGGGTTTGCCTACAATCTATTTTTTTGGCAACGGTGATAGGGACATGTGTTAGTAGA